TGGTTGGTTGGTTGGTTGGTTGGTCAGTGGGTGGGTCGGTGGGTGGGTCGGTCAGTCTTTATACTGCACCCATTAGTGCAAGGCACAATTCTGGGCAGTTAGCAATCAATAAAGTTGATCAGATCAAACCAAAATAACAATAAATTGGGACAGAAGCAAAGATAAAGATAACAGAGTGGATCGATTCCAGCACTACAATCAGGGACGCCGAACAATAAGAGTGGACAGGGTGACAGGCAAGTTCGCACAAGGTTGCCATCAAAGGCCTCTGTAAAAAGCAGCATCTTTAGCAACCTCTTAAACGTAGGAGGGGGGCTTGGGGTTGGGGCCAGGCACAGTTCCAAAGGGCTGGTGCTACTTTTGATTTTTTGAAATTACACAAGGATTAGGGCAGCTAGCTCCCATGTTCAAAAAAATGCTGTTCAGGAAACAGAATATGATGCAGTATTCGGTCAAAACTCGCTGAGAACCAGAGTATTGAACATCTTCTGTCAGTCAAATCTGTCGACTTTAAGAAAATTTTTTAATACATGTCATTTCACTTATTTTTAAAAACAGACTTCCTTGTAAGGACTTTTTTCTGTTGATTTATGGTTGATATCTCACTGTAGAACCATATAATGCAACTGACATTTAAAAACCTCCAAGCTTTGCCACGAGAAATCTGCAGGGAAACATAACTCAAACATACTATTTTGAGTTGGCTGTCTGATGGCTGAGTATGTCAAATTCTTCCTAGAGTCATTACATGTTGGGAACATCAATTTACTATTTTCCTATATCCGCACGCCTTGGCAGAAGTTTAAAAATAAATTCTGTAAGCTATCCAAAAATAGGGCACAGAATTCCGAGTTTGATTATCTTGCTATTCAAGTTACAAAGGCAAGCTTTTGATTTTAACCCTAAAGTCTTGCTCATTATATGCTATTTTTGTTTTATATGGACTCCCACAGCAAACCTTCTACATGGTGTTTGTTATGAGGATAGAATGAGGAGGAATAGGGCCATAGGAGTCATCTTGAGCCCATTGAAGGAAAAGTGAAATATATTGTGATGAATAAATACTTCTTAGTTTAGTGTTTTGTTTTCTATTTTAACTGTTTGTGAAGAGACCAGAGTAGGGCTTCAGCACTAATGAGGTGGTATATTAAATAAATGTAAGAGGATTCAAAGGGTGATTAAGACGGCCCAAAACATCATTGGCTGTTCACTCCTCTCTTTGGAAGAATTGTATAAGAACAGATGTAAGAGGAAGATATCTAACATACTGAAAGACTCCTCTCATCCGGGATATCAGCTCTTTAAACTATTACCATCAGGAAGGAGATTCAGGGTATTGAAAGCAAGGACAAGCAGATTCAAGAACAGTTTTTACCCAAGTGCAGTATTGAGTTTAAATGCGGGGCCATAGGTTTTTGGTGGAATTTTAATTGCTGAGAGAAAACGGGGTATCTATATTTGGATGGTGAAAGTTGTGTATATTTTAACTTTTTTTTGTAGTGTTGTCCAGTTTTACCTTGGGGAAGAGCACCTCATTTCGTTGCACCCACTTGTGAGCGCAATGACAAATAAATTTCTTATGTCTTATGTCTTATGTCTTAAATAAATAAGCAAGTAAGTAAGTAAGTAAGTAAGTAAGTAAGTAAGTAAGTAAGTACGTACGTACGTACATACATACATACATACATACATACATACATACATACATACATACATACATACATACAAGAAAACCAATTGTATGACAGAAGCAGGGCAATGCATGTTTCAGACAGAGTCGGGCACCTCACTTTGAAGTACCACCTCGGGACTGTGAACTGCCAGTAGAGAAAAGTACACTACTTCAGAAATCAGTAAGACAGAAGTTGGCTTTATAATTGACTACACAGTCCGTGCTAGTGCCAAATTTAGATTCTGTGATGTTTTTATTAACTCTTACAAAGCACATAAGGAGAAATGATCACAGCAGTGATCATTTCTCTCTGGAAAACCTGTTTCCAGAGAGATTGCTGTTTTAGTCTCAGAGTCTGAAAACAATATTTCTTTGGAATTACAAATCCAAGAATACCAGAGCCAGCGTATCTGGAGCCTTCTGGAATTTCTGGTCCAAGAAAATAACATTTTCAAACCCTGGCCAGTTTGTTGCAGATGAAACAACAAAGATTGTTGTGGAAACTTGTACTGTTTATTATCAAGAACTAGGATATTGTATGATTATTGCAACTGAATAATATATGTAAATACTGGAGATTCAAATAGTTCCTGCAATAGAAAAACACAAGCAGAAGGTATGTGAATGTGTTTCTTCCGTTGATACATGGATGAAGTAAAATAGACAACATAGTAATTGTTCAGTAAAAAAAATGGTGACCACTTATTTGGAAATGTAACTTCTCTGTATATGGTGACCAGGTAAATTATAGACGATGACTTTGTTTGGAGAATATTGGAACAATTTACAATCCAAATAAATAAAAGTAACTGATTTTCATTTATATATGTCCTGTTTGAAATGTTAAGGTTTAATTTTTAACTATCTTTCTTGCAATTGTAGGAGCGAAGTTTAGAAAATACGTTGGCCATTCAGCCCATGTGACAAATGTCCGTTGGTCTCATGACTTTCAATGGGTAGTTAGCACTGGAGGTGCAGATCATTCTGTTTTTCAATGGCGATTCATTCCAGAAGGTATTACAAACGGGATCCTTGAAACTATACCCCAAGGTAATAAAAATTAAAACCCTGTTTTCGCAGGCTTTTGAAGGAGATTACAAGTGAAAAGGCTTTGATGTAGTGCAGGAATACTTGTGATCATTAGTGTCCCATTATTTTTTTTAAACACAGCATGCACATTGCCTTTTGTTTTAATACAGATACCTGTGTTTTCTCAGGCACAGCTTTCTTAAATAAGACACAGGCAGGAAGCATGTTCTTTGTCAGAGAATGCTCACATATTAAGTCACTAAGGGTGAGATCAGATGGCAATTTAGGGCACCGTCTGTTTCAATCTAATGACGTTTAGAAGATCATGAGCCAACCCGAACCCACTGCATGCCAAACTGTTTTGGTGCGCTGGCAAAACGATTCTTCTTTTGGAGCTGGGGTGAGCAATCGAGACTGGATTGCACGTGGACAGAAATGTCGCTTGGAAAAGTTGCTTTAAAGAAGGTACCAGGAAATTGACCCTTTCCACTGTGATCTGAGGTGATCTCATATTGCTGCCTGATTGCATTCTAAGCAGAGATGAGTGAAAATATATTTCTAAAGCCAACAAGATGTGGAATTTAATTTACTAATTGTTATAGGGGCAATTGCAACAAGATGTGGAATTTAATTTACTAATTAGTTGTTATATGGGCAATTGTTATTATATGAGTTGTTAGTTGTTACATGGGCAATTGTGTATTAAAATTATCTGAAATTTTGTTAAGTTTATGAATATATAAATGAGGAAAATGGATACTTCTCTTGCTTGGAAAGATGCTCAGATTCCTCTATATTTTGCAGAATCCACAAGCAGCTTTGTATGCCAATTATATGCATGATCCAAATACAGAAACACACATACCACATGTTTTAGAGGCATTGTTCTTTGCTGTAGGGCTCTGTCCTTTTTCAAATTTATTGTAGTCAGTGACATTTTACCATTCTATCACTTGTATAAGAGGTTTCTCATGTTTAACTATCACTCCCTTATACTCAACAGCCAGCAGTTATTCAGAGTGTAGTACAATCTAATTTCTAGTGTGTGCAACGTATGCAGTGCAATAATGACACGATATGGAGAAAGATTTGAGGAAATCTATGTAAAGTACATGCGAGGATAGCAATATATTGAATAATACATGTGGATATGCATGTTGGGTGCACACAATTTGCAAGGCTATATAAAATTGAAGCTGAATAATACTGTCTCCATGTTAGCACTGACCTTTTCATCTTTGCAGTTCATTGGAATTTTTTGAAAGACATGCAGTTTAAGTGAGCAGTGCTGTTGGAAGGAAATTGGTCACAGTCCTAGAAAGTAATATGTACACAGACAGGGGAACAATGTGCAAAGCTAGGGTTGTCTTTGAACGCTACTGTTGCCATTCATAAGCTAAACGGGGGAGACTGCTTTAAGTGGATAATAGTGTAGCTATATAGGCCATTATGGAAAAAAGAAAATGCATTGAACATTTAGCAGAAGGGTGATGTGAAAGAACACTGTGATTCGTGTTCTTTGACTTGCAGAGATCACTCTGCCCTTTTGCACCATCAAATCACAAGTGTTCACTGTGTCCTGGAATTTTTGCCAATGGTTTAAATTGTGTGGAAGTTTTTGAGTTCATTATTCCTGGGAAGGTGACTTTAATTTTTAATTGCCTTTCAATGATTACTGTCATCTGGTATATTCTTATGCAGAAAGTGGCATAGATTCCCACAGTGAAGAATCAGATTCAGATTTATCTGATGTGCCAGAATTAGACTCGGATATTGAGCAAGAGGCTCAAATCAACTACGTTCGACAGGTAAGCAACGTGTAGTCAGAACCAACAAGCTAAAAAATCTCTTGTGTTTTGATATATATTCCCTAAGGCAATAGGCCTCTGGAGAGCAATTGCTTGGGGGTAGAAGTGGGAAGACGTTGTGTACTGAGGATGTAAAGAATTCCTGGTACACCATACTGGGGTATTTGCAAAATTAGTTATTGTCATCCTTTTAGAATGAGAAACCTTGACAAAGAATGGTCAATGCTCCTGAAAATCCTTAGTTCTAGTTCACACCAGATGCTGTTTTTAATTAGCAGAAAGAATTTGCACAATTTGCATATATTGTCTCTGTCAAAACTAGTGTCTTTTCTCTTTGAGAAGCAAAGGACACACACACATCAAGCACAGAATGACTGGTTAATGGCTTTTGAATGACACCCACTCATGCTTCCGATCCTTCAAACTCTGCACAGCAAAGCAACAGCTACTATTGTTTTGCTCAATTTGCATTACTTTTGTTAAAACATTATTTGCACAGTTCACTTGCCCTGTAGAGTTCTTACTTGCAGTGGACGCTAAGCCCTTGACATTTTGGATTTTGTGACTTGCAGACACTTCCAGGCATGGCTTTTCTTGTACAATCATACACCTGTTGTTTATAGGATTTTACAGGCCTTCTAGGCAAGGTCACCTTCAATTTTTAACCCTTGAGGGTTTTTCTGTAATTTCTTCCATCTTTTTTGTTACCAGAATCATTTAATCCTTTAAGAAGAGAATGTCAGAATTGCTCCAATTTTCTTGCTGATTGGTAGCACTAGGAGCCATCTGTCTGGGAATACCCTGGATCTAAACATGTCTGTTGCCTCGTCTGCAAGAGGGACTTTTTTATCCTTCCAACAGATCATAGCCAGATGACGTTATTTCCCCCATCATTAAAAAGCTTCTCTTGAAGAGTCAAGGATCTTCCACAGAAGCTTTTACAATAGGAGGAATTGCTGCCTTCTTCATGTGCATGCAGAAGTTCCTTCTGCTTACATTTGTGTACAGGAAAAAGCTTCAATATAGTTTGTTTTAAGATGCTATGTATATTATGCATTTCTGTGTATACATTTGTATACATTACAACAAGAGTATATGCCAACTGAAAATAGAATGATGTGAGCTGCTGTAACTCTGGCAGAAGGGCATGGAGGAAAAAATATAGGAAAGTCACTGATAGACAGTTGATGGAAATATCTAGGGCTACTGTCATTCAGAGCTCACTTATTAAGGAGTAGAGTTATTTGCATGCTTTATAGGTAAAATACAACAAATACAATAAATATTTGCAACAAATCTCCAGGGGTTTAGACTCTTGCAGCCCCACAAAGTTACATAAATACACATCTTTAAATCTGTTTTTAATGTACCATTGGATTAAACCGATGTCATAATGTCTACCTTCATAAAGATCCAGCAGCTGTGCATTTTAAAAGCTTCCCTTCCACAGATTTACATGGCTAGTATTTGGAGATATGTAAGTAATATAAATCTGTCGCCTAATTCTTGTGATATTTAGAAACTCCTGCTTGTTTTGTATGATATTATCAGATCTCCTTTCAGTAATTGTGGAGTGAACTACGCATTATTAACTCTTTAAAATGTGTTACCTAAACAAAAAGGGAAAACGTGAAATGCCTGCTTCGATTCCAAAGTCCGTTTTATATAACATTTGAATGAAGTTGACCTGATTCTCCATTGCTGAATGATGTTTCTAGAACTTAGAATCCAGTCATCTCAAACAGACTGATTTGATAATGCAGTAACAGACAGTGATATAGGTCTTGAAAAATCTCAGGTATCTTAGTGTTACAGATAACAAAAGTGATGTGAATTAGTGGACTTGGAAAATGTAATTCAACTAAACTATTATTCTTTTAGGTTTACAAAGAAGACCTACCTCAGCTGAAACAGCAAAGTAAAGAGAAAAACCACTCAGTGCCCTTCCTTAAAAGAGAACGAGCCCCTGAGGACAGTTTAAAACTGCAATTTATACACGGGTATGACTTTTTTAGTAGTAACTACTTTTGGGTTGTTGTTGTTTTTCATATTTATGGGATTCAGTTTGCAGGAAAAAAGTAATATATATTTTAGGAAAACCTGAAATAGTGCCTATAGACAGAGATTGTAGGCTTTTCGAGGCAGTGTATTTGATGTCCATAACATAGTTATTGGTGTTTTTCCATCATTACTATAACATTTCTCTTGTTTTGCTTAGTGACTTTTTTCTGTGACTTTCTATACCTTTTCAGCCTTTCTGAAAGCAGGGTTTATTTTTAGTATCGCTTTGTTCTGGGCCTGCTGCGGTGCTTCATCTTTGAAATTAATGTCTGTTGAAAGCTTCCTGATCAAAAGCTTTTGATTAGTATTCAAACAAATAAACAAAGCTCTATAAGAGAAGGTCCAGCAGAGATCTGATGTTCTATTTTTTAAAAGATTTCTTGAAGATTTCCAAAGTCTCTTTAAAGAAAATGGAAATGTGTACACTCCTTAATAATCAAGAGAGAGAAAAGAGAGAAAACTATGAAGAATTCTATATTCACAGTTATAGTACACATGGGGAAATCTTCTAGTTTTCCATCCTGAATATGAAAGATTATGGGCAAATCCTTCAAAAAACAAACATATTGGCTGAAATCCACTTTATACAAAAGACATAACTTTTGGAGGCAAATTGCTGTGAGTTAAGAAATCTCTGTAGGCATGATCTGTTGCATGGCAAGTATGTAACTCAGTATGCAAGAGATCGTGCCTGTAGAGATTTCTTAACATACAACAATTCACCCCCAAAAGTTATGTCTTTTTCATAACAGTGCAGCAGGATTTCAGCAATTTCTTCCCTTTCCGCACTGTATGTTGGTGCAGATTTCAACTGGGGGAGTGTGAATTTGCTGGAGAGTTTAGTGTGAACTTTACAGGAGTTGTCCAAGGTTCTGAACCTGTTTGGGGGTTAGAGTTCAACATCTTGGACAGCTCCCATTGAATGCAGATTAATATCTGAACAGATTGCCTCCATATAATCAGGGTTAACCTGCCTCCACTGCTCATCTACACTGACCATGTCCAACTGGTGTTACTATTCTCAGCATGAAAGGACCCTGATGCCTCTTTATTTTTTCCAGAGAGACTCTATGGCTTTAATGTAACAACCTATATTCAGGACTTATATAATTTAATACTTAAAGGCTTCAACCTAGACTTTTAAAGGTTAAAGAAAAAAATGGAAATCCACCTCAGTGGATTGAAACAACTTTTCTTTTGTTTTTCCACCAGAATGGCATGGTTTTCATAGTGATTTTCTGCATTGTACTTAACTGACTGGGAGTCCTGACTTGGCCTGTTGCAATTTATGCAGGACTCTTTTTGACAACAAATAAAAAATAAATAAGGTGGTGATAGTTTAGTTTTTGTTTGTTTTGTCTTGTTTTGTTTTTGCTTGGTAACATTGCAGAAATGAAAGCGGTATACAGCGTCTCCTGGAAATGTAAACAAATTTTATTGATCAGCATAGCATATAACTTGTTATTTTGTGTGGAACTTGGAAAGTCCAATTTCATTAAGAACAGAGAGTAGAGCTAGAAGGACAACATTCATGAAGCAAAGGGAACGTTTACATAATCATACTAAGAACGATCACTGATAGCAGATATTATTTATTTATTATTATTATTATTCATTATTAATGTGACAGAAATCGCTAAACTAATTGCAAATAGTCTGCTGTTTTGTGACAGTTTTCTCTTAGAATCGATCTTTTGAATGCATCTTTCTCTCTCTCTCTCTCTCACACACACACACACACAGAGAGAGAGAGAGAGAGAGAGAGAGAGAGAGGAAAATGTACATGAGCATAAAGGTACACAAGACCCAGATGTAAGTTCCTTTGCTTCCATACTTTGCAAGACCTTTACTGAAATGTTTATTTTCTGACTTGTCTGTGTATTTTTCAATTCATTACAGTTATAGAGGTTATGACTGTCGCAACAACTTGTTCTACACACAGACTGGGGAGGTAGTTTACCATATTGCTGCTGTTGCTGTTGTGTATAGTAGACAACAACATACCCAAAGGCTGTATCTTGGTCATGATGATGACATCCTTAGTCTAGCCATCCATCCTGTGAAAGATTATGTTGCTACTGGACAGGTGAGCGTCTAGGAGAAATGTTGCTGGCAAATCGAGGTGAAAAGTGGTTTTTGGCATTTACTTGTTAGTTCTAGCAACTTTGTTTTGTAAAAATTCTAAATCCTTTGGGATAGTAAAGTGGAATAATATAGGGCAATTTCTCTGTTGCTGCTCCCAAACTCTGGAACTCTCTCCCGCAGGAAGCCAAACTGGACTCATCTTTGCTCTCCTTCCGCAAGCAGGAAAAGACCTTTCTCTTCAGGCAAGCCTTTCCTCAGTGACTGGCTACATGAGTGTGACTTTTAGATAGATTTGTATTCTCAAAGGCTTTCACGGCCAGTATCTGATGGTTGTTGTAGATTTTTTTGGGCTGTTTGGCCATGTTCTGGAGGTTTTTCTTCCTAACGTTTCACCAGTCTCTGTGGCCAGCATCTTCAGAGGACAGGAGTTAGAACTCTGCCTGTGTTCTGGTGCAGTGTGTGGGATAGTGTAGGATAGAACACAGACAGAGTTCTAAACTCCTGTCCTCTGAAGATGCGGACCACAGAGGCTGGTGAAACGTTAGGAAGAAAAACCTCCAGAACATGGAAAAATAGCCCGAAAAACCTACAACCATTTAGAGATATTGTTATGCATTACTGCTCTGAATCTGGTCTTTAGTACTACTTTTGTTTACCATCACTCAGAGTGCAATTTGTTGGTTCTCTTGTAATATTTGTATAATTATTGCTTTAGCTTTAATATTGTCTTTCAATGATGCAAGTTGCCTCTTTGAGCTTTTTGTCCTTAGCTATAAATATAAATATTGTCTTTTAATGATGTAAAACACTATTGTATACTCATCATTTTCAGTTTTAAACATTGCCTTTCAATGATATATACTCATCATTTTCAGCTTTAAACATTGCCTTTCAATGATATAAACCGTTTTGAGTCCTTTTTAAGGAGAAAGGCAGGGTAAAAATATTTTAAATAAATTAATGGTGGCTGAAATCCTGTTGTACAGTTAAGCAAGTAGAGTTTTAAGTAAGTTAAGAAATCTCCACAGGCATTTTCTGCTGCCTGCTGAGTCCGCTACTTAGTATGGAACAGATGATGTCTACAGAGCTTTCTTAACTTAGGGCAATTCACTTCCAAAAGTTACGGTATTTGTATAATTGTGCAACAGAATTTCAGCTAGTGTTTGCCATGCTGACTCTGCAACAGAATGTTGCAGTCTATCCTTATCTCAACCAACAGCTAGGGTCCTTCCTCCAGGATAGTGTAAGCTATAAGGAAGTCAAACAAGGCAATTCACCAACCCCTATATATACTTTTTCTCTCCACCTCACCACCGCCTTGCCTTTCCTTATCCCCAGTCTAGTCACTTCAGTTTCTATGGAAGGAGCCCAGAGACGTTGAGATTAGGAAGTGAACTGGGTGGTTCCTGGCCTTCTGTGGTTGTACATCTCATTAGACATATGAAGAAAAAGAATTGTTTGTTTGTTTTTTCAATTTTTTATTTAGATCATTGAGTGAATTTATGATATACAAGGGAAAGAAACTGTTGTGCAGTAAAGGTTTGATGCAATTTAGGAAGTAAAGTGTCCACTATGTCTATTTAAGTGACTCATCCTATCAGTTGTTTAAATTATAAGTGCAGATTAGAGGATCAGTGGTTCCTATGTGGGACCGTAAGGAAGTTTGAGACATTTGTGAGAAGAAAAATATAGTGTCTTATAGTAAGAAGAATTAAAAAAAGGTTGGATACATTTAGAACAAAATAAAAATACAGAGGCTCGATTTGGGGAATATAAGAATCCCTTGATGGCTACATGTCACAGAAACAACTTTATTTCGTTTCGCTAGAGAAAAGCAAGTAGGGATGAAGAAGAGGATTTATGAATCATCAGCATGATAGTGGTGGTCAAAGGATCACCCTGAAATAGAATGCAGAAGGGAGAAAAGAAATACTTGAAAGCTTAAAGTTCAGAGGAGCAACCTCTGAAAGCCAAACAACGGGAGAAAGATGAAGTACTAGTCAGGCTGCAAGGGTGGCAGGAATGAAAATGAAGAAGACAGAGACACAAAACTGAGGAACACATTGGGGGTGAGGGGAAGCTACACTCCAGTAAAATCAGGTATAAGCTGGTAAAGACAGATATGGTTTACATGAGAAGAGCACTGTGGCCCCAAAGCTTACAACAGAGGGTTTCCAAAAAAGAGGATTTGGATGTTAATTATCCTTCCATCTGTTTAAAGCTTTTTAAAGAAAGCTATTACGGCAATATAAAATGGGTTAAAAAAATATGCCACCAGGATGATATAATAAGATTGTAAAATGACAGAACAATAGAAAATAACAACCATAAAGATAGCCATACGTACAGGACATAAAACATGTTTCAGAATGTCTGGGAAATAAGTAGGTGGGGAAGCCAGTGCCAGAATAGTTATCAGTCATTGTCGGTAGAGCTAATACTCCTGATGAGTGCACAGAAGGAACAACATGGAAACTCACAAGACCCATTGCTTAAGAAGTGGTAAGTGACTCTCCTCCCCCACTATATGAAAACAACAATGGTGTAAGACAGGACTACTCCATTAGTTTACCTCCTATTCACTTCTGGCAGAGCTGTTCAAGCAAAACACATTGGTTGGTGGTATTAGATGGCCCAAAGATCAAGGAGAATTAGGAGGTTCACTCTTGCAATGACCTTCTCCCACTAAGATGATATCCATTAGAGTAACCAAAACAGTGCCAAACTGAGCACAGAATTCAGACTGAAATAGATAATCTCCATCAAGATCATCTCACACAATCTATAGTATGTGTCCAGGTTATATCTAGCGACCAAAATGGACTGTGGCTAAGAATAAAGATGATTGACCACAACTGAAAACGATGCCATAAAACCAGACTATACTGTGCTCTTTGACATGTCTGCAAGAATTGAATCGGAAATTGTGTTAATTTGAGAATGAAGATTAGTAGTTCACCTGCAAAAGGCCTCTTAAAATTGGCACAGGAGGCATCCAATCTTCCGCCTACTTCCCTATTAGGGCATGATTATAATAATTTAATCCTGTCCTCCAAATCTGCTGGGCAGCTGCCTGATTATGGAATTGGACCAGTGAAGAAAAAAAATACTTCTCATTGTCAGTGGCACAAAATAAGCATGGTAATATGGTCTCACTTGTGTCCAGTCATGATTGGCTCTGAGATATAACTCCAGCTGTGTTCCAGCTGTCATCCTGCCTGACTCCTTGAGAAACCAAGCTGTTGTGTAAAGCTGACCATGCCCTACATCACAGGAGTGTTTGAGAGGCAGATCAAGCACTAGATCTTTTGTGAGCATTCTTCAAACATGAAGCAAGGGGGAAGGAGTTATGAGAGCAGAATAGAACCAGAAAAGAGAAGCACAACACCTCTGAAATGTGAAGAAAGGGGAGGCTAGAGAAGAATGTGGGCAGCTCGCGTCTAATGCAGGCAGGTTGCTTAAGAAATTTAAGAAATTACAGGGAACAATGCATACGAAACACAAGGTTGAGAAACCTAGAAGCCTATTTGCTTGTAAAAGGATTATCTTTACGGTGGATATAAATTATCATTGACTGTTTTTGATGCATTGCTGTTAAGATCCCTTGTCTCGTCTAGGTTGGGAGGGATGCTGCGATTCATGTTTGGGATACGCAGACGCTTAAATGTTTGTCACTGCTAAAAAGCCAACACCAAAGAGGAGTGTGTGCTCTTGATTTTTCAGGTAAGTATCTACGCCCTGCCTGCAGCATGGAAAATTAAACTGAACTGCTCAGTGTTCGTGTTGTATGAGATAACCTTTGTCCACATAAGACCACATTTATTTCTCCTGTGGCTCCTGGAGGAGCAATCCAGAAGAGAACACTTCCCATCAGATCAGCAGTCAGGGTCCAGTTGTGCGGATTTTTTCCAGAGGAGCAGCCAGTCTCCAAAGACTGGCCCAGTCAGGATTGATACCAGTCCTGAATCAGGGTTTGGGTCGAGCTGTCACAAGCTAGCTTCCCCCCCTTCCTGGCATCACATATCAAAACACTGACCATCAGCAGCTGGCCCTTGCCCATTCTATTCAGTTCAGATTACGCCAGCCACCACCAAGCGTGACAAGGAGGAGACCAGGGATGGGGCCACCGGCTTCCTTCCCTTGCACAGGCAAGACAGGAAAAAGGTGCAATGAAG